ATGATTCCTACAAGATAGAGTGGGACAAAAGTCAATGCATGATTCTGGACTGTTAGATTATTTTGAAGAAAACTATGAAGTTCCAATATAACATAATGAAGTTGTTTTAACGTACTCCCTCCGTCCCAAAATTCTTGTCTTAGATTTGTCTAGATACGGATGTATCTAATAGTAAAACGTGACTTGATACATCCGTATCTAGACAAATCTAAGACAAGAATTTTGGGACGGAGGGAGTAACATGTATTGCACGATGCTGCTAGGCTCAAGATTTAAGCCAAGGTTTAAATCAACTTCTCTCCCTGTCAAATAACAATACAGTAATGATTTGCATAAATATATACAAGGAAAATACATTCTACTATCTGATATAGTTACACCTGGGTAGGAAAATGATTTTATACCCCTGATATCATTTTCAATATATGTTTAATTTTGTGGCTATGTGCCATCATCCTAATCAGATGACTTGTTGTTTTGCTCTACCAAGATAGACGTGTTAATACTCTGCTGCTCCTGGTTACCCAATAGTTCCTAAATTAAGCATCATAGGTGCTAGTACGAGACCAATGAAAGGTGGCTGCATGCATGCACAAAGCACAATACTGATTTGCAGAATGCACTTCTACAGTTCGGCTCTGGGATGTAAATGTCCAGTAAGATTAAAACGAAAAGAGGACAGAAGTGCATCTGTAGCACATATACAGATTATTTTCAGGTTGAATCAAATGGTGCCAAAATAGTTCGAAAGTGGATATTTCCGCTAACACTGCTCTAGTTACAATCCCCCGAACAACATAGCCCGAGCCCCAAGTATGTATATATCAGACTCAGGTTCCATGCTAGTTGAATTTGCAGTGGGAATCATGAATTACCAAACAAGATAATATTTTATTTATGAGAAGTCTCGCCACCACTATATCAGCTGGCATAGCTATTCTTTTCACCAGCATGAGCTCTGGTTTCAGTGAGGAGGTCAAACCAATTTTCACATCCACTACTTCATTTATGGCGTGCTCTATGACTATCCATCTCATTGTGTTCGCCCTGATTTGGCTGCAGTGAGTAGAACAGTGTACTGAAGAGGCAGTGTTTCGTAATTTCTTGATGATATAAAAAAATCATCAAATTAACGCACACACAAACTCTACTTTGCTGTTACCTGATACGATGGATAATCAAATCATCCAAATGCTTTTATGTGTCTTAAACAAAGTTAATGATGGTGCAAGCTATCTGTCGCCAAAGCATGAAAGCAATTCTTGCAATTGAAGAAGAGAGCACTCTGAAGACTGAAAACTAAAAGACCAACTACTGGATGTGAAATCGATATGTTGTTATGTACAGAACCCAATCACCAGAGGCATACCTTGATGTTTTCTTGTTCCTTGATCAGAGCCTGAATGTCCAGTCCCGTCGCTTTCACAAACTCGGCATCTTCCTCTGAAGCATCACCTTTGTCGTCTGGTGCTTTTGATTTGTTTTCCCATAATGATTCTGCAAGCACAATTGAACAATTGTCCTAAAAATATACAAGAGAATAAGGCAATCCCCAAACCACGATTTCACAGCCACTTTATCACATACTCCAAAAACATAATATTAATAACCTAAACAAAAAGAACTCGATCGGTTAATTTCTGACATACCCAATCGGTAGAGCTGCAGCTTCAGCTGCTCGATCTCCAACCGAACCTCTCGGCCGGTACCCTCCTCCCAAGGGGAACCAACGGAGGTGGCGCACTGCCCCGTGCGACCGCCGTCGTGGCGGGGTAGGGCAAAGAAGGTGGCTAGGAGCGCGGCCGCGATGGCGAGGGCGGAGCAGGATCGGCGGAGGTCGCCTGCGCTACCGGAGGAGTTCAGGCGGGCGCAGAGGGAGAGCAGGCGGAGGGGAAGGAGGAAGGCGACGACGACGGCGAGGATTGCAGAGTCGACCCTCATGGCCATGGACGGGAAGAATTCCCCTGCTGCGACTGGGCTATGGGCTCAAATTTGCTGGATGGGGACCGAGAGCATCCGCCTTAATAATCTTAGTATTAATAAACACACATCAAAAGAAAATCTTAATAAATTTAGGGCATAACACGGAGCCTCAAACCTCCCGCCGTCCGGACTGCATGGTCCTCCAACACGGACCCTTAAACCTCCCGCAACCGTTTGGACCATACGGTCTGGACGTATTTTACCATCCATCACGGTCCTGTATCAGTCTGCTCGGCGGTCCGGGCGTCATTTTTCACGCAAACCAAAATCAAATCAGAGACTTTGCGAGAGTCCGAACCGCTGTCACACCCGTTTCCAACAAACCTGCCCTATCCAAAACTCTTTCCCTCGCGCACGCTCTTTTCCATCCAGAGTGTCAGCTCTGCATTCATGCCGGCTCAGAGTGAACGCGCACTGGAGCCGGCATTGAAGCAACACACTGGTTGAGAGTGCCACCTGCCGCACGCCATTGTGCACGTCTTCTCTCCGCATTGAAACGGCACCTGTCTGCCCGCCTACCTCCATTAAACTAGCGTGTGGGTCGAGGAACCTACTTCGACACCCCGAGCGCCACACATCCGTAAACACATCTCTGGTTGGCGTCTCTCGTCTTGCAAGAGCCACACCACGCCTCCACTATCCATTTCCTCCTTCTACCACACCCGTCATGGCCTCCGGCTCCAAAGTCTTGTGAGGTGGCCTCTTCGGCGAGCAGAAAGAAGGAGCTCGTCAGGATTGCAGTGGCCTGGTTTGCTTGGCGAGCCAACCAGATACATATTGGCTTGCCGGCAAGCTCTCGGAGCCAGCAAGCTCTCGGAACCGGGCAAGAACCACACCACGCCTCCACTATCCATTTCCTCCTTCTACCACACCCGTCATGGCCTTCCACTCCAAAGTCTTGTGGGGTGGCCTCTTTGGCGAGCAGAAGAAGTAGCTCTTCGGGATTGCAGCGGCCTGGTTTGCCCGGCGAGCCAGCCAGATACAGATTGGCTTGCTAACAAGCTCTCGGAGCCGACACCATCCCCGTCGCCAGGCCGTCCTCGCCCATCCAGGCTGGCCAATGCCGTCTCCCGGCAAATCCGCTGCGAGCGATGGCGGCAACGCGTCCGGTGGGTGGAGAGAGAAGCCATGTTTGATGAGGTTGACGCGGCGAAGGAGGAATTTGACTGGGGCACCTACGTCAATTCGCCAACTTCAGGTCGGCCGCGCCCCGGCGCCACGACGACAAAAGCCGGCACGTCCATGCCCGCTGACGATAGAGAGGAAAAGTAGACCATGGGAGGCCGCAACCGCCTGGGTCCTGCGAAGGCCACCGTCACCGCCTCGCCAGGTTACATAGTTGGTGACTTGCTCGCTTCGCACAGGCTTAGGCCACGTGACTGTCTTCCCCCGCTAATGGTATCCTGGACTAGGGTGTACTCACCACGTCGGTCATAGAAGCGGAGGTTGTCGTGGGAGTAAGTGATACGTCTTCATCGTATCAACTTTTCTAAACACTTTTGCCCTTATTTTGGACTCTAACTTTGCATGATTTCAATGGAACTAACCCAGACTAACGTTGTTTTCAGCAGAATTGACATGGTGTTATTTTCGTGCAGAAATAAAAGTTCTCGGAATGACCTGAAAATCAACAGAGAATATTTTTGAAATATATAAAAAATACTGGCGAAAGAATCAACGTCAGGGGGCCCACACCCTGTCCACGAGGGTGGGGACGCGCCCACCCATCCTGGGCGCGCCCCCCTGCCTCGTGGGCCCCCTGACGCTCCACCGACATCAACTCCAACTCCATATATTCACGTTCGAGGAGAAAAAAATCAGAGAAAAGGATTCATTGCGTTTTACGATTCGGAGCCGCCGCCAAGCCCTAATCTCTCTCGGGAGGGCTGATCTGGAGTCCGTTCGAGGCTCCAGAGAGGGGAACCCATCATCGCCGTCATCATCAACCTTCCTCCATCATCAATTTCATGATGCTCACCGCCGTGCGTGAGTAATTCCATTGTAGGCTTGCTGTACGGTGATGGATTGGATGAGATTTATCATGTAATCGAGTTAGTTTTGTTAGGGTTTGATCCCTAGTATCCACTATGTTCTGAGATTGATGTTGCTATGACTTTGTTATGCTTAATGCTTGTCACTTGGACCCGAGTGCCAGATCTGAACCTATTATGTTTTCATGAATATATGCGAGTTCTTGATCCTATCTTGCATGTCTATAGTCACCTATTATGTGTTATGATCCGTTAACCCCGAAGTGGCAATAATCAGGATACTTACCGGTGATGACCGTAGTTTGAGGAGTTCATGTATTCACTATGTGTTAATGCTTTGGTTTGGTACTCTATTAAAAGGAGGCCTTAATATCCCTTAGTTTCCAATAGGACCCCGCTGCCACGAGAGGGTAGGACAAAAGATGTCATGCAAATTCTTTTCCATAAGCATGTATGACTATATTCGGAATACATGCCTACATTACATTGATGAACTGGAGCTAGTTCTGTGTCACCCTATGTTATAACTATTGCATGAGGAATCACATCCGACATAATTATCCATCATTGATCCATTGCCTATGAGCTTTTCATATATTGATCTTCGCTTATTTACTTTTCCGTTGCTACTGTTACAATCACTATAAAACCAAAACTATTACTTTTACTACCGTTACCGCTACTATCATATTACTTTGCTACTAAATACTTTGTTGCAGATATTAAGTTTTCCAGGTGTGGTTGAATTGACAACTCAGCTGCTAATACTTGAGAATATTCTTTGGCTCCCCTTGTGTCGAATCAATAAATTTGGGTTGAATACTCTACCCTCGAAAACTGTTGCAATCCCCTATACTTGTGGGTTATCAAGACTATTTTCTGGCGCTATTGTCGGGGATCATAGCTCTATTCTTTGAGTCACTTGGGGTGGTCGACTGTCGAACCACCGCATGCCTCACCCACCGCTGGAGCCATGATCGACCGGGTCGCTTGGGACGTCATACATCGGGGGTGTGGATGCTGCGGGAACCGACCGGTACCGAGTCGACGGCTGCCGCAGGAGGACTCCACGGGCGCTCACATGGAAGTGCGCCGCCCCACGGATGGGAAGGGCCTCGGCGTCGAGGGGGGCTTCTTGGAGCCAGGCGGAGTCGTCAGCGATGAAAACGAGCGCACCGAGACGGATCTCACGGCCCAAAGCCAAACCACCGCCAGAAACCATGTTGATGGAGATCGGAAAAACTGCAACCTCACTGGAAGTCGCTAAGACGCCTGCCCCACGGTGGGCGCCAACTGTCATGGGAGTAAGTCTGACAGTTAGAATAGGGGGTACGTAGGAGGAGGCAAGGCCCTAGCTACGACAAGGTTGTACACGCGAGTTTACGAGTTCATGCCCCTCTAGGAGGAGGTAACAACCCTACGTCTCGGTTCCCGGAGGCTTGTCGACTGGAATATGCGTGTCAGTTACAGGGGCTGCAAACCCTTGTGCCAGAGGAGGGGGCGGCTTATATAGAGTGTGCCAGGCCCCTCCAGCCCTCAATTACACATGGTTCAATGTAAGTTAAGGCAGGGGCGTTACTGGTAATGCCTGCTATAAATGACTATTAATGATCTTTAAGACTACGGAGTGAACGCCTGACCATTGCTATACTAGGGCGACTGTAGGTCTTCTGTGCTCCGAGTGATTCTTCATATGGTCGAGTGAAGTTATCTTGGTCGAGTGGAATTGGGGTATCCAAGTGTAATAGATGGTCGGGTGGATTGCACTCCAAGGTGATTTTAGTCGGTATCTTCTGTTGTACTTCGAATGTATTTGACTCTAGGGCAGTGTCCTTGGGTAGGACGTCTAGGTCAGGCCTATGACCCTACCCTAGGTACATGTCATCGTCAGAGATTACTCTCCCCCTTCCGCTGAAGCATATCCCTCTAAGTCTCACGACGGTCGGATGAGCGGGCTATCAGACATAGGGAAGACATGTCGTGGGAATGGGGCTCCCTCGTGACCGGCAATTATATGAAAATTGCCGGTTTGCATGTAATTTGTCTGGTTTGTTGAAATCCGATTTGAATGTATCTACGGTTGGACGGATGGCTCTCGCATCACTGTTTGTGGATTGGTCTCCCATGGTCTACGGACGGATGCGGAGTCCGATTTGGGGGTCAGTGTTGGAGATGCGCTTGTTAGGTTTTCACATGTGATCTATTATAGCAAACTCCATATGCAGCTTTCCATGTACTTAGCCTGACATATATGCGGTTGGTGTGGTGCTGTGGTGAGCGACAGGCAGCAATGAGGCGGTGGTGGTGTGGCAGCGGCGTGACGACGGCAGAGTGCGGGTGTCTAACAGTCGGCGACGACGACGTGCAGGAGTCTAGCAGCATCGTGCGATGGCTATGCGATGGTCCGCCGGTAATTGGCGGTGACACTGGCGTGGCATGTGTTGGTAAAGATATAAGGGGTGAAAATGGGGTCTGTTTTAGGTGACCACCTAAAGAATTCTGGGTATAGTTGAGCTGCTGGAGCGTGTTTTTTGTGTCAACTTTCCTGTGTGCGAAATCGGTTGGGCATAGGGAAGGTGTTGGATATGCTCTGAGGCAACTCTAATCGAACCTAAGGTTTTAACTCCTTATAGCCTGCTTGGTTGAGGGAATTAGTGATTACAGAATGATAATTTAATGGATACGAGACATACAATACAATGTTTGGTCGGGGCTAGGAAGTTGAGACTGAAAGGAGAAAGGGAGTTAAGGCCCTATTTGGTTAAAAAGTCCTAAGAAGAACTCATTTGCACGAAAAAAAATCATGGCCCCTGGATGATGAATTTCACTCACTTTCTCATATCCTTCCTTATACACACACGCCGTGCTCGGTGAGCTTCTGTCAAAATGCTTGTTCAGGTCATCCATTATATACCCTAGCTAGCTATTGGACAACATCTATCGCCTAGAAGTCATCGTTGGCCGCATCGAAGC